ACGAGCTGAGGAGCCAGAACCATCCTCAGCAGTGTCACAGGCAGAGCCTGCACCAGCAGCTCTCCCTGTGTGTGACAGTCCAGTGCACTGCACTGGCAGAGGGATTTACAGCCCAAATCCTCCTCTGCTTGGTTTTATGCCATTCCTTCATCCCTGCCTGCTCTCCTACACCCTCTCCAGTATTTACACCCAGTACTTTAACCTCCCTCTGGGACCAAGCCAAAGCTCAGCCAAGCCAGGGAGAGCCACACCGCTGACTTCAGGGAGTTTCAGAGCTGGTTCTCGGCTGTAAGCTGAGCTTACTGGGTTGCTTTTAATATCCCATCTTAAATCACATCTTCCAGCACTTCATCCCTTTTGGCTCCTATTTATTGACTTCCCAGCAAATGCTTTAAATCTGTCTTGCTTCACTGCCCAGCTGTGCTGCTCTGGCCCCAGCACATCAGAGCTGTACTGTCCTGCAATCTACCTGCATTTTGGGACCCATCCACACCGTGATGGTTGCATCTCCCTTTCCTGCATGGACTAGCTCAGATGTTGTAGCACCTCATCATCCCTACACCGACCAAGTGCTTTCCCTGTGTTTTCTGTATGTGCAAGCTGTCATGCCCCTCTGGGAGCAGCCTTTGTGTGCTTACAGCTCCTTTTCTGGGTCACTAATGACAGCACAAGCAATGCAGCCCCATTTCTAGTAGCACAGGCACCCTCAGCCTTCTGTTCAGAAGCACCACTGGGTGATAATCCTGCTCTTCCAGCAGCTCAGGGGTACCTGGGCTGGCATCTATCACCCTGTCTACCCTCAAAATAGTTTGACAAGGTGGTGGGATCCCTGCCCTGCGCCCAGCGAGGGGCTGCAAGGATGACTCCCTGCTGAGCCCAGGAAAGCTGGGACCTGGAAAGGAAAATTGCCCAGGACAAGTTCACAAGGCTTGGGGAATTTCCAAGCAAATCTGCATCTACTTTGTTCTCTATTTTCCTCTGTACCCTGGAGAGCATGTCTGTAATCACCAGAGCCCTTTAACTTTTTTATCCCACTAGTAAGTCCTAGCTGAAAAAAAATTCAAATATTTGACATCCCTGAGGAGAAGGATGTTTTCCAAGCCTCAAATAAAGGAGCATTTTCAGCTCACATAGGGCTCCCAAAAATAAATACAAAAATGCACAAGGGATTAGAGGCCCAAGCTGCCTTCTCTGTGTGAGCAAAGTGCCACTCTGCTGTGTCTGTGCCCCCGTCCCCAAGCTGACCTGTCAGCACAGGGACAGCCCCAACCCCTCAGCACACACACACACAGATAATCCCATGTGAGATCCCAAAGCCCTGCTACTGCCTTCGTGTTCCTGGTTTTAACACCCACTCTGTGGGTGCCTGCTGTACCTGGGGAACACCTTCTGCCACAAGGGGTGCCTTGTCCCCCACCTCTCCCCACTCAGGGCAGGAGGACAGTGAAGAGATATTACCCGCCTGGAGCCTGAGCAGCCACATGTCCCCTTTAGGGTAGCAGGATGCTGTGATAGATGCAGGCTTCCCAGCATCCCCTTGTGCAGCAGAGCTGAATTTTGTCTATTTTTAATTTCATTGCATTCCCTCAGTAAAACTCTCATGGGGAAAAGAAAATGTAAGCAAAAAAAAACAACCAACCAAAAAACAACAGAGAGAGAGGAGTTGAGAGGAAAGCCAGCCCCTAATCAAAATAAAATCCTGTGTTTGATAGCAGGGAGCAGGCAGCAGCTGGGATGGTGTACCTGCCCTGCCCTGTGTCCCCTTCACACCCAGAACTACCCCAGGAACATCAGAACATCCTCTCCCATCTTCACCACCCCAAACTGCCTTCCCTATGTCAACACCACTGGCTTCACTAGTCCCAGCGGCCCCACATCAGCCCCTTCCCATCCCACCCTGGGCATGCTCTGGGTGCCAGGTGGAGTCTCAGGTGTGCTTGGCTCCTCCCTGCAGTGAGCATCCCCACAGAGGCAGAGGAGGGAGACTGCTGCTTGGCACTCCATCGAGCAGCCAGAGACAGTGCCCACGGTGGGGATGCTGCTAGGGCTGCTGGGCTGGGTTGGGTGCATAGCATGGAGCCAGGTGAGTTCTGGGGAGGAAAATCAGACTATGCTTTCCGTCAGGGAAGCTGCCTGCTGCAGGGGATTGCCACAAGGTAGTAAAGAGGCTGGCATATTAAGCTTATTAATTAATGATGGGAAATAAGAGTTGTAAGGAGAGCTGGATTCATGCCAAGGGCTTTGGTGGCAGCTGAACTGGGAGCTGGATAAGGAATAGGAACCCCCCAACCTCAGCACTGCTGCTACATGGGGCAAACTTGGCAAATTTTGGCTGTGAGGGCCCAGCTCTCTGCTGTGGGTTAGGGAAGGAGCCGGCGGAGTGACACTGCTCTGATTTACACAGCAGCCTTGTCCCTAAAGCATCACAGGGGTCAAGTCTCTATAGAAACCCCACCAAAACATGAACACACACAGTCCATTCCCCGGGACTCAGAAGTCCAGAAACCATACTGCAGAACTCTCTGTGCCTGGGAAAAGGCTTTGTGCTCCTG